ATGCCCGGCTAATTTTTTCTATGTATTTTTAGTTGTCCGATTAATTTCTTTCTATTTTTAGTAGAGACAGAGTCTCACTCTTGCTCAGGCTGGTCTCAAACTCCTGAGCTCAAACAATCCACCCACCTCGGCCTCCCAGAGTGCTAGGATTACAGGTGTGAGCCACCATGCCCGGCCTGACTTTAGTTTTTAATCTTAAGAAAGTATTGCAATCGTTTCCATTTCATAGGACTTTTGTAATTAATGTGATTGATTTTAAACCCCAGATGGGGTAGAAGATATTGCTGGGATGCTCAAGAATGTAAACAGAAACTATTGAAAGGGGAGAACAAATGCTGTGTGAGGAATGCTGTCCAAAAATGTATACATCAGAGTAAGAGGAGGAAAACAGCATGCTTTACAACTAGCTCTTCACTGTTTTTCTTTGTAAGGCTGCTTTACATGTCTGTTTTTTTGTTGGCACTGTCTTTCATCACCACCCTTCCAGGTATCCTTTCCTCAGATTCGGCCTCAGCCTTGCTCTTGCAGTAGTTCTACTCTCCCACCTTGGCCTACTATGAGCAATCTTTGGGCAGCTGTTTCTTGGCAGAGAACACTTTTTATGAAGCAGCTTGGATTTCTGTAGAGAGAGTAGGGGGTAAGAATAAGGATGGGGCTGCTTCTGGGATAATTGTTATGGGAATGAAAGGGCTGTTGAAAGATTAGAGGCCAGTGTGCCTGGGTACAAGGGCTGGGGTCATAATTATACTTTGTCTTTTACCAGTGCCTTTTGTCCAAGGCACTGAAAGGGCTTAACAAAATTCTGCTCTGAATAATATTATTCTTTGCTCTTTGGAATTTACTGGAGGTGGCAGTGAGGCCCTCAGAGAAAAAAAAAAAGTGTTAATAGTGGAATAAAAGAAAATAAGCTAGATATCCTGATTCCTAGTTAAGAAAAGATAAGTCTGGTGAAAGTTGGTGGAATTAGGTGAAAAAATGTTTGCCATTATATGAAATGGGCTGAGATGGTTTAATGGAAATGTTACCATTTTTCCCCCCACCTTTGCCTGGGTGACTGTCTGTTAGTCCCTAAGAGAAAACAAATAAACAGCTTTAAGCTTCTTTCTTAGGGTAGAGTGCTCCTGAGTTCTAATTCCAGCTCTGCTTCTTATAATCCTTAATTAGTATTTGTGCCTATAATAAGTTTGAAGAGAGCCATCTGAGTGAACATAAAGCCTAAGCTCTTACCCCAAGAACTTGATTTCTTCTATCTCTGTTGATTTGTGTATAAAATGGTACTCAGAATCTGACCCACCTCATTTTGTTGTGAAAACAAGTATTTTATAGAGTTTGTAGATATATATGACTATTTCTTAAATACATTGGAAGAGGGCATTGCTGAAGCTAGTTTTTTGTATTTCGTATTGAGTTGAGGCTCTTTGTTTGCAGTACCTGTCACTTTATGTGTCTGCTGTTCCAGGTTTTATTTCAGTTCCCAGTTTCCCATCTGAAAAGCCACTGCCAGTTACTCAGTGAATAAGGGTAAAGAGATGGCAGTTGACCTGCCCAAAATTTGTACCTTTATGGAATTTAGACAGGGGAAAAAAAATTCTGGTGTGCTTTTCGGCAGCTGAGAAGCCCTGTTAAGCACACACACAAAAATCATTTATATAAAAATGATAAAGCCTGTACACTGTTAAATCTCCTTGTCTCTTTTGTCATCTTTCCCAGGTCGTTTCCTAATTGTTTTATTTTCTTCCTCTCCCAAATTCAGGCTGGCTACAGCAAACATCATTCAAGATGTCCAGCAAAGGGAGCAGCACAGATGGCAAAACAGACTTAGCTAATGGTAAGGGGCCAAAATGAAGGTGAAGCTAATTTTCCTGTCAGCTGAGGTTCTCCTCCTCCCCCACCTCCC